AAACTTGTTTTACAGGTTATAAAGAAGATGTGTCTAAATTATCAGGCAATTTTGACAATTTTTCATTATTCTATGCATTATATCAAAAATTCTGAATATTTATGATGACCACTGTAACTATTCCACCAAAATTAAAAAATGATCTTTCACTATACTATTCTACTATTTACATGAATATTGTATTACAAATAATAATAAAATATAGATCCCAAATATAAGATAAAATATAATGTTTAAAAATAGAAACGTGATAATAAATATAGTAATATATAATGTAAAAATAGGGATATTTATAAAATAATGAAAATTATAATAAAAATGTGATTTTGCATAACTAGGAAAAGATTAAGGAATTAAGGAATTTTATGTCACTACGGTAATACTATGATTTATCTATACAAATTTACAAAGTTTATACATGTACATGTAGAATGTACAAAAAAAGAGAAAAGAAAAAGACAAAAACTACGACGATTTGTTGACGGTAATTTAATTTTTGTGATTCTAGAGTTGCTTTGTGATGAGATAGATCGAACTTGAAAGATTCAATACGAGACCATCCTTCAAGTCTAAATAAATTTAAATCAATAAATATATTTTAAAGTCATAAAATTTTTTATAAATAATTAGACAACTTACTCTTCAAGATAAAAATCGATATCTTTGATAACTTTAGTATTCGTGAAATTTGTTTGAGAAAGAGATTTTCGAAATGTTTCGATTCTTTTCCAGCCCAATTTTCTACGAAGAACAAAGCTTGTTAATAATTTTTTTGGCAGCATACAAATGATAAGAAAAATAAAAACTCAATGCCCACTCTTCAAGTTCAAATCCAGCATCTGAATCATCTCTTGTCGTCAATTGTTTTCGCTCATTTCTTACTGATTGGATCCGTTTCTCAGCATTTAAAATAACGTTTTTTCTAGTGGCCCATCTTCTAGCAATTACTCTTGCTCTAGCTTCCAAATAGATCGTATCACATTCTAACTTGACAAATTTCTTGATAATTACTTCCCTAGCAAGATTAGCATTTTTTACATTGACAGTTGTACTTTTTTTGTTAGAAGTGGTACGACAAAGAGTACGAAACTGTGCTTCAGGAGCGAATCCTTTCCATTTGAGAGCGATTTCAAGAGGAGCCCTGAACCACGCATTCAATTTAGGATCGGTGCTATATACCAAATGTCCTTTCTTCTTTGAGTGAATGATAGTTGATCTATATAGAGTATCGTTCAATCCAAGGCAATTTGAATAAGGAACATTAGATTTCGAGTCAATAAGAATTGGATGGAAAAATTCCTCACTAAAGCCGGAATCATTTTTCTTGTGAAAGTTTTTCGTTTTGGAAACTTTATGGATCATGGCAGTAGCGATAGTATTAGTATGAGAAGTAAGTTTCTGTTTGGAAGTAATAGATTTTTTGTTTATTGAAGCGGTTTGGATTTTATTCGAAAACATTTTGAATCTTTCTAAATTAATTGAAGACTTGGTTGTTGCAATCTGTCAAAATTTAATTTGATTACGAGAGTTGATTAAGTTTAAACCTCGACTCAAGTTCGACCATATTTATAGACACTTTTTTAGAAAACATTGATCTCAAGTTGCTGCTTAAGCGACTCTAAACTAATCGAATGCAAGCAGGTGGGCGCTTTAGATCGATTGCTTAAAATTCTTGTCATTGTATGATCTGGTTCTAAAGTAATCATTAATTGTCTTTTATACCAAAAGATGCGTTCTTAACTCATCAAATTTTGACTGTATTATTATTGTATTGTTCAACTTGAGATCAAATGCATAAATCATTGCCATTGTCAGATTCTTCTTCTAAATTGTTTGTATCAAATCATTCTCTGAATTTTTTTGTAATGTATTTTATTAACGTATTGTTTTTTGGTCGCATTAAGTGCCTTGCATTTTGAAAATAACACGTAATCACAAACTTCATTATACATGTACTTTGATAACGATAATCCGAGAATTTTTAAGAAAGTATAAGATATTAATATTTTTTTTTAAAATTTTATAAATACAATTCTCATTTAGTTTGTTTGAGGGATATTTTCTTATTTATACGTATAAAAAGATATTTTCAGCGATAATGGCGCGTACCAAAAAACCCAAATTAATAATAAGAAGCAGTGATATTGAAACAGAGTATTTATTGTTATAGTCAGTCACCTTTTATTTTAATTTTAGTAAATTTATATGAAGAAATAAAATCTCGAAATAGGACGTCCAAGACAAAACGTTTCAAAAACTCCGGGACCACTTCCAATAAACGAAGGGAGTCAAAGTTAAAGAAAAAAGATGTTATCTTGAAAGAAATTCTTGAAGACACTATCCAAGATAATGAAGTCTGGTTTAAAGTAATATGCGATGGTAATAAGATTTATCTGTGCTAACAAAATGTACATATACTAAAATAATTTAATACTGTATGTTTGCGTTTAAAGACGTCAATACCCCAATACGTTGGGTAAAAGGACTGGATTTACCTTCAGAGTGTATCCACAAAATAGATGAATATTTGGAGAAAAAAAAGGTAAAAATATTTTCATATACTTACACAATAAATAATTTGTTCTGATTTTTTTTTGCTATTTTATTTTTAAAAAAAAATAGAGTAAGAAAAAACGGCCACATATCCATCCATATATGTTACGTTCGGGCAAGCCCACTCCCCCAGATCCGGAAAGGGTTGATCGCACAAAACAATGTAAATCATTCAGATTTATTGGTTTTCTGTTTTTTATAATTGTTAACAAATACGTGCATGTACTTTTATTGTAGTGATACTTAACAACCTGCTCTCGTGCGTTGATGATGAAGATAATGTTTATAGCAACAAGTCACCTGTGTTAGAGTCCAAGAATAGCAGCCAATCAAAAGCAATTCATTCAAAACCAAATGTGTCCAATTTTGAAGTCGACGACGGTTTACCCAGCTGGAATGTAGAAGTTAATGACGACTTTCCTGGTTGGGAAACCAACGAAGAATTGTTAACAAACAAAATCAGCTAATTCAATTGGTTGGTACTGAAGGGACATGATTCATTATTGAACTCTTTTATTGTTGCATAAGTATTTTTGCTGTAGATATAATAGAAATACGTATGAATGTAATATATATACTAAACTAAACAAAATACTCAAAATAACCGGATATTTTTCTTGGCAAAGCATCATCTATTTAAAAAACCTTTCATTCAGGAATTATTATGGCAATTAAATTTTAGAAACTAAAAGTTGTATGTAATTGTTAATAATAAAATTGCAAGTCTAACTTTGATGATACTTCTCAAATAGAAAACGATAGAATTACGTATTTCGGCGAATGATTTGGATTGTATAATGACGGCGCCAATGACAGCGTTAAATATTATACGTTAGGAGCGAATTTTGTATTTTAGGCAGAACTTGTAATCAGCATATTATGTTAGAATTGATTATTGAAAGATTTTTAATGGAATTATAGGTTGTGTGCTTCGCCGCCCTAGTTAATATAGTGACTAAGAGTCAAAATGATAAATAGTTTCTTCATTTCTACCTTTTGCTTATATCTGCTAAACCTCAAGTTTCAAAGTGCTTCGAGAAAATGCATGTTCTATTTCATCGATAACGCGATATTAATAATGAATGTATAACTTCGGATACATGAATGACAATTGTAATTTAGCCCAACGCACCGCTAAAAATTTTAAAGTTTAAATTATTTTTCGAAAAACTTGATTATAATAGAAAACCAAAAACATCTAAAAAAATTTCATCTTTTAGATTATCGATTATCGATGTCCTTATTTTGTAATTACGCTAACGTTAACGATAATAGAAGTTAACTTACACACAACACACAGCGCAGTAATTGTATCAATACACAGTGAAAGTCGATATAACGGACCAGTCGGTTCCATTAGTAAAAATTTTCAAAAATCCGTTATAACGAAGAAATTCGGTATAGCGGATAAAATACTATAACCCGTTCTGAACCTCAATCCGGTATATTGAGATTTTACTTAGTGTCCGTTATATCGAGAGATACCGAAAATTTAGTAAAAAATGTAACGAAGTTACAGGAAGTAGCAAATTATTTTTTTTGGATGGATTCCTTCCAATGTTGAATAACTTGGAAAAAATATTTTCGGAAGATTTATAAATCAACCCGGAGAACCATTAGATGGTAAATATGTTGTGTGTTGGAATCATTACACAATTCAAAACAATGCATGTTACGTGCTTCGGAGTTTTATCACGAGGTAACAATGATGCATGTACGTACTTTTGGCTACTATCGCTATGGAATTACTAAAATTTATAGCCATCTTTGTTGAATATTAACCGAATTTTTTTTATAGGGTAGTAATACTATCTTATTGGGGAAATATGTATCGGGAAAATACCGGGGGAAAAAACGTTGTCGGTTGTGTAAATTTGCGTATATCGATATGTATTTATAGAAAATATTGTTTCCTCAGGAATATTCTCTTTGGTCGCATATTTTGTTTTATCTATAAAACTAAAAGTGTTTATGACTTTTCATTTTATAAACGATGCTCTTTTATTTTTTATTAAAAAATTTTATGTCACAACCGTCATTTTCGTTGCGGCACAGTAACTTCTCTTTGTACGTACGGAGACGTGTTTCCGCCATCGGATGAGCTATTCCGAATTTTTGTTTTTACATGTATTTGGTTTAACAAAACATAATTCGTTCTTTAAATTCTAGTATTTCAACCGTCGAGTTCATACCATTGGTAATTTTAGCTGCATTATGCGCATCATGCTTTCTACTAAAAGAACCCTTAAAAGAGTTAATCGTCTATAAAAACTTAGTTTAAACAGGAAAAAAATGTTGTTTGCTTCTTTCATTGATAATCTTTCACAATGTTAAGTCTAAGCGGCATAAATTATAATCTCCGCCCAGCAGAGGATAGATATCATTTTCGTTTTTGTCCACATTGCAATCAAATTCAGAAATCAATTTCCTGGTGTAAAGTCTGTGCTTATGATCACGGGAAAAAAGTTTTTGATAAAACGATCGATAAATACATTACAGGAAACCAAAAAATTGGATCAAATTGGTATGAAAATAAAGAATGGATTACGTATTCTCCATTCGTCGAAGATGATTTTTCGGACGATAGCAGCGAAGACGATTATCAAGAAGATGAATATGAACTCGACTACGATTTTGATAATAATGTAAAGACAATATTAAGTATTCGAGAAAAAGCTCATCATCTTGGCTATTGCAAAGTTTGTACGAGACCAAATTTAAGTTATGAGTGGTGTAATATTTGCAACAGAAAAATATTAGAGACCAACTTCGCCCGGTGGAATAGCGGCAACGATAATATTAACGAATTTATTCGAAAAACACAAAAAAAGGCGAATAAACATATCAATTATATAGAATGGATAGAATTTGATGTATTTACCAATAGAAAATTTTTGGCTAAAGGTGGATTTGGTGCTGTATATACGGCAATACTAAATTTCGAAGAACAAAAAAAGCACACAAAATCACGTTTTCGTTCGGGAGAGAAAGTAGTATTAAAAGTTTTGAAAAATTCGTCATTCATGACAAAAGAATTTCTAAACGAGGTAAATAATTTTTAATTTCCATTGCATCATTACTATTCAATTTTCTAACGATTTTCATCATTTATATTTTTTATCCTTATAGCTTCAAAATTACCATCAATGCTTCGGTGATGTTAAAAACGCACATCTTCAAATATTAGGCATTACTTGTGATGCCAATAGTACCGAATTCATGATGGTTCTTAAATTCGCGAGAGGAGGAGATTTGCGTTCTATTCTTGGCAACAACCAGAGAAAAATGTCGTGGAGAGATAGAATTGAGCTGCTTTACGGAATATCAGAACAACTATTTACCATTCACGAAAGGGATATTATTCATCGAGATTTACACCCAGGAAATATTCTTTTCGACAGTGAATTTTACGAACGTGATTTTTTTAGACGGATATATATTGCTGATCTGGGACTTGCCAGACCTTGTGATCGATCGCATATGACGAAAACAAGCATTTATGGAATAATGGCATACATTGCACCCGAGATTTTTCTGAGAGAAAAACACACAAAGGCTTCCGATATTTATAGCATTGGTATTCTTATGTGGGAGCTAAGTGCGTCTGGTAAAGCTCCTTATGATGGAGAAGATGATCCGAGCCTTATAGCTCATATTTGTGGCGGTAAACGACCAGACATCAATAGAAATACACCGCAACCATGGGTTGATTTTATGAAAAGATGTTGGGAAGGCAACCCAGAAAATCGTCCTACTGCAAAGGAACTATTAGAGACAGTCCGTAATTGGTATTTTTTCAAAGAAAACGAAGAAGCATTTAATGATGCCGATGTCGAAAACCTAACTCAGATTGAAGAAGAACCACCAGAAGAAGTCCCTACATATCGTCCACGCAGTGAACATCATAATACTCTTTCAAATATTACTATCGGTGGTCTTTCAATTCACATGCCTGCTTACAAACAAAAAGCTAACATCAGCGAAGAAAGGCACATATATACTCATGATTACGATGATCCGTTTTAAATTTCAAATGGCCAAAAATCAAAAGTGAAATAGAGCACATTAACGTTTAACGATAAATATTCTATGGGTAGGGTAGAGGGTTGAGAAATTTAATTTATACTAATACATTAAGATAAAAATTTATTTGAGAATAAGATAAACATTGCTCTTTATTAACATTGCGAAAATTCATGTGTCACTCGAAACAAGGTTTTAGATAATTTTCTTAGAACGATATAAAATTGCGTATCTCAATATTCAATATTTTTCTCAGAATTTATGCACTGCCGAATGAAAAGAAAATATTAGCTTGCATTGATAATAAATTCATTTTATTAAGTCCCATGCTTGGGACTGAGCAAAAGATTACATTTGCATTATGATTCATACAGATTTGTAATACAAAATTAAAAAAAAAAGGTGATTTTGTGAAAATAGCTTGTTTCTCGAAATTTTTTCGTGAAACCGACCTTTTGTATTCTAACAAGAAATATTCCTTGATATAAGATACTAACTCAAATACTCATTAATGTATATACATGTACAGTGTGTTAAGAAAGTCTGGATAATTTTGTGTAATAAAAATTTCATGATAACAACATCAAATTATAAATAAAATAGCTTATTAGAAAGCTAAAAAGCCAGAGATTTATTAAATGTATTTTAATTATCAAATTCTAAAAAGTAATACAAATTTTTTAAAAGATTCACTATTACTATACAGCATAGAAAAATTACTTACGTAAATAAAATCTATCAATTCAATACATACGTAACTTATCAATAGGTTGAATTTATAAAATCCAACCTATTGACATTATTCTCCCAATGTGAAAACATATCTAACATATTTTTTTTCTTCACATATTAATAAAAAGGGATTGAGTTCAAAGAATGTGCATCTGAGGAAGTTGTTTTCTAATCTCATTATTCATAATGCTCAAGACGCCTGTACATTTTCCCAAAATAATATTTAAGGGTACTATCTGTATATATTAAATTTTCTCGAGAAGTGGACTCCAGCAGTGTCGAGCTTGATGAAATAGTTTAATAATGATGTTGTAATGCTAATGCTTCACGCAATATTAAAAATTTTATCCCGAAATTCTCTCTTTCACTCGGTTTACCCATACCCAATATCCCGTCATTCATCTTCCCGAAAATCCGACAACCTGTCTTTCCGATAATCTAACATCCCGAAAATCCAACATCCCGAAATCTAACCTCCAGTTGAGATTAAACTCTATTTAAAGATTACTAAATTATAAACATTTTCCTGAGTCACGTTTTCCACCTTACTCAATTCAATGCCTACTCTTTCAAAGAATATTTCGTTTTTACTTACATAATAGATGATATTATACCACTTCTATGTTTGGACTGTTTCATATGTCATTTATTTGGATACTTTTACTTCCTTTCATTCATTCTTTTTCATCCGATCTAGATATCTCGAATTACAAAGACCGAGATTAGTGCACAGTTGGTAAGAGCATAGGTAAATTTTTTCTTTTGCTCATAAAATGCAACTTACTGACACATCGTTTCTTCTGAAATAAAAGATGTAAGCGAAATACATAATATTATTATTGTTGCTACTTATATAGTCAAAATCTCTATATAATCACCATTTTCAAGTAACAACCCATTATAAATATAAGAAATTTCACTTCATTTTAGTCTCACTCCTTATGATAATCATGTTTTATATTCCAAGAGGATGATTAATATGGTGGGTCAACTGTATTATTTATATATCGCTATGCAACCATTTTGCGATATAGCAATATATAAATCCGCAAAAATGAACGTGATAAAATATAGCGCGCGATTAAGACGCATAAAGTACGACATAATTTTCAGTGCTCACATGATTTAATATAGAAACATGCTGCTTTTAGTTATTATTACATGTATATGTGTGAAAAGGTGTCGCTCAACTGTCCGACAACTCATCTTCTCGAAAAACTAATTCCCGAAATCTAACATCTCAAGAATCTAACTTCCCAATAAACCGCTCGATTTCCTTACGTCAATTATTAATTGAAAAATAAATTTAATAATTAAAATTTAAATTGTTATCGTTATTATTTTTATATTACGATACATTAACGCTAGTGCCAATCAGCGTAAAAACCAGAAACTAGACTAGTTTTGACAAGAAATTTAATTGTTGGGAAGTTTGGTTGTCGTCAGTATGAAAATTTATTCGCACAGATTTGACATCGATCTGTTCGATCTGATTGTTCAAAAATGCGGGGGAGATTAAAGAGGTAATGCTATATAATGAAGGCTACCGTATAGCACTGCATTCAGCACCCAGAATAATATCCATATACCCCCGAGTATACATCTAAGATACAGTTCTGGCTAGAGATGTGCCTATGCGCACACATATATGCGCATAATGCGCATAGTTACTAACCGATATCGTAAATGCCCATACACAATTATGCATATGGTTAAGTTCACCAATTAAGGCATTTGTACACAATAAATAATGATAAACAAACGCATTTATACCGATACAGAACATATGTATAAATGATAAATATCTACATCTTTATTGTTGAAGTTCTATATGGGAACATTTAATCAAATTGGTCATATTGCTGGATTTCAAC